CTACTTAATACAAGAGCTGCCTAACAAAATAAAAGCATGTAAGTTTTATTAATTTTATGTGTACATGGAAATCTTCATAAGACAGTGAAATCTGAAGAAAATAACCAAATTAAGATGATTTTGTACTTTTTAGTCAAAGAATGATAAACTGGAACAGTAGCAAGACAAAGGAGGGTAGCTAAAGGTGAAAAACTATGGAATCTAAATGTACATGGGAAGAATTCGGTAGACTTCTCAGCAGAGTTAGTGTATCAGTTATGTATAATCACTGTGACGCTGTTTAACAGCAATAGAGAACACAAAACCTAGTGGCATATGGTAATAAACACTTATTGGTCACAAGTCTTTGGGTTGTCTAAGCAGTTCTGTTCTTCAGAGCCAGGCTCACTGAGACTTACTCAGTGTGTCAACTGCCAGTTGTAGGTCAATTACATTAAAACCTTGGCTGGACTCTCACAAGTCTGGGTCATCCTGGCCCTCTTCCACTTGAATATACTCCAGCAGGCAAGTCCAAGACAGCAGAGCAAGACAGAGAAAAGACACACACAGGCCTCTTGGGACCCAGACTCAGAACTGGAGCACTGTCAGTCTCCTACATTTGATATGCCAAGCTTACTATTGACTCGGCCTTTTAAATGGGAAGAGTGAACAAATTAAGGCCAATTTTACAGTCTAAGACCGCTAGATATAAACCATCTTGGTGTATGGGACTGGCACTGATGCCTATAATGCAAGCATCCCATGTAGACACTGATTTGCATCCTGTCTGCTCCACTTCTGTTCCAGGAAGAAAAGGAAAAAAGCAGTGGAAGATGACACAAATGCTTGGGCCCCTGCCACCCACGTGGGAGACTCCGACTCCTGGCTTCAGCCTGACACAGCCCTGGCTGTCGCACTCGTCTGGGGAAGTGAACCAGTGCATGGAAGATCTCTCTCTCTCTCTCCCTGTCTTCACTCTCTCTTTCTCTTCCTGTCTCGCTGCAACTATTACTTTCAAATAAATAAATAAATCTTTAACAAGCAAACCAAAATAAAACTGTCTTGGTATATAGTTTTTCTTGTTTACTTCTTTCACCATGAGAATTAAGGGGAAGCTGGGTAGAGCAAGGACTAGTTCTGGTGAGGATTGGTTTGTTTTAAATTGTTCCTTGTATGCCCCTGCTTGAGATGAACCCTTACTTTCCCAGCATCTTCATCAGCAGACTTAGACCTTACCACAGTGTTGTAACCCAACAACAGCAACAACAGAGGACCCAGGTTCTTCAGAATTACAATCTGAAGAAAGGTAACCCTCCCCCCATTGTTTATCTGTCTAACAGAAGACAGAGTTATATGCTGGGGAGATTAAAGTCTGTGAAGGGCCTCTTCCAGCCGTGATGATAATTATGTTTTCCTCAGAGTGCTTCTGACAGGAACTCTGTGAAATAATGTGGTGAATAATACCATATAGGATCATCAATAGGCTAATCCTCCACCTTGCGGCGCCGGCACACCGGGTTCTAGTCCCGGTTGGGGCGCCGGATTCTGTCCCGGTTGCCCCTCTTCCAGGCCAGCTCTCTGCTATGGCCAGGGAGTGCAGTGGAGGATGGCCCAGGTGCTTGGGCCCTGCACCCCATGGGAGACCAGGAAAAGCACCTGGCTCCTGGCTCCTGCCAGGATCAGCGCGGTGCGCCGGCTGCAGCGGCGGCCATTGGAGGGTGAACCAACGGCAAAGGAAGACCTTTCTCTCTGTCTCTCTCTCACTGTCCACTCTGCCTGTCAAAAAAAAAAAAAAAAAAAATACCATATAGGATCATATCCCTCTCTTAGAAGGTTACAATGTATGTAGAACTTTAGACACTGCTGCTTGGCAGCCCTACACCCATTCCCTCTTCTTTTTCTTGCTATCAATCCTTTTTTAATTATATATAAAACATTTTCATTTTATTTGTTACATATTTTTGTTGTTTTATCAGTGCCTGTACACACAAAATGTACTCTGTCGTCCTAACAGATGCTAAAAGAGCAGCACTAAATTGTCAGAAGAGAACTGCTGTGTCTTGTGCATGAAAACATGTAAATAACTTGATTATCAATGAGTATTTTTATAAACACAGATGGCATGATATTGTGCTAGGTACGGTTTTAAAAATTAATATTTCTTAGTCTATACCCTTAGTTAAGATAGGAACCTACAACCAAAAATCTTATATATATAATATGCAAAATATCTTTTGGTTGATTTATAATAAAACATTTTAGTCAGAGAAGGATAGAATGCATTTGTGTGTATTATTGGGTATATTCATGCAGAGCCAATGGGTAGAAATCTAGATAGGATGCAAGTCATATGGATTCTAGATGGATTCACGGACATTATTATTATTATTATTATTATTTGAAAGGCAAAGTTACAGAGAGAAAGAGTTCTTTCATCCACTGATTCACTCTCCAGCTGTCTGCAATGGCCAGGTCCAGACCAGGCTAAAGCCAGAAGCTTCATCCAGGTCTCCCTCATGGGTACAGGGGCCCACGTACTTGGGCCATTCTCTACTTCTTTCATTCAAGCACATTATCAGGGAGCTAGATCGGTAGTGGAGCAGCAAGGACTTGAACTCATGCCCATATGGGATGTTGGAGTAGCAGGTGGCAGCGTGACCTGCTACACCACAGTGTTGGCCCAGACTTATGGACTTTAATATGTGCTCTTGTGATATACTTTTAGGTCCAATTCCAAATCTGTTGGGAACACAGAGCCCAAGAAAGAGCTTGGTGTCTCTCATGAAGATTTTGATTCTTTACCATTGGATTTACATTTCATATAAAGCCATTTTGTAGACCACAGCTCCAAGATAAAAGAGACAAGTTGGTCCTAGGAAAGTTCAGTTTGCCAAGGGAGAGAGCCTAAATCAGACCATTCTGTTTCACATACTGCAATCTCTTTACTGGGGCAAAGACAACACCATTTCCACAGCAATTTCTCCTGCTTGAAGCTGAGATCAGGCAAGGAGAATCCTATTGCATTTCTGTCAGGTCACTGCAGGAACACTGGTATGGCACACCCAGTAGCACAAAGCCATTGACTCCTATGATACACGTGCTTCCAGCTCTCATGAGAATTTCTTCTGTAATCCATCCTTCCCCTCCTACACTGGCTTTCCTTCACATTTCTCATGGTGGTCAAATCAACACAGAAGTGACTAGGGCTTCTGTTACATATTTTGCCAACCACAACACATTATTACATTGAATGTTCACTCAGGCTCCTTGAATTTGGCTAGAACAGTTGAGTAAGATCCTTTGTATGAGAAAATGATGATGTGTGTGATCTTCTCAAGCAATCTCAAGTGCCCAACATGCTCCATACACACAACCTGGACTGCAGAGCCTGATTCTTCCTACAAGGGAACACTTGCACCTAGGACTTTCAAATGCTGAAAGCTGATAGGCAAGTTCAAATTCTGGAAACAGAGGCACTTCCGAAGTTTTGCAAGGTCACATTCTGCAAAGTGTATATACTTCAAATGACCGTGTTATGTGTAATAAATACAATCTTATATGTTAATTTAAGTAACAATGAAATAATCAATAAACAATAAAATAATCAATAATTACTTCAAATAGCTGTGTGCCAACAAGTCAGGAAACGTAGAGGAAATGGATAGGTTCCTGGACACATACAACCTACAAAAATTAAGTCACAAAGATATAGATAACCTAAACAGACCAACAACCAAGACAGAAACTGAATCAGTAATAAAGGCCCTCCCAAGAAAGAAAAGGTCAGCACCAGAAGGCTTCACTGCTGAATTTTGCCACATATTTAAAGAAAAACTAATTCCAATTCTTCTCAAGCTATTCAAAATAATTGAAAGAATTGAAAGAGAGGGAATGCTCTCAAATTCCTTCTGTGAAACCAGCAGCACCTTAATTCCTAAATCAGAAAAAGTTACAATAGAGAAAGAGAACTATAGACCAATTTCCCGGATGAGCATGCAAAATTCCTCAACAAAATACTAGTCAATCAAATCCAACAACACATCAGAAAGATCATTCACCCAGACCAAGTGTGGTTTATCCCTGGTATTCACACATGGTTGAACACTCACAAATCAATAAACATGATATATCGTGTAAAGAAACTGAACAACAAAAATCATATGATTATCTCAATGCTCGGAGACAAAGCATTTGATAAAAGACAACATCCTTTCATGATGAAAACCTTAAGCAAATTGGGTGTAGAAGGAACAGTCCTCAACAAAATCATTGAAATCTGTGACAAATCTATAGCCAGTATTTTATAGAATGGATAAAAGTTGGAAGCATTCCCACTTAGATCCAGAACCAGACAAGGATGCCCACTCTCACCATCACTATTCAATAGTCCTGGAAGTTTTAGCCTGAGCCATTAGGCAAGAAAAAGAAATAAAAAGAATACAAACTGGGGAGAAGGAAATTAAATTAAAGTGGTAGTTCAACTAATCAATGGGTAAATGTTGGATTATTCAATGCAATAGAATTGACAATTTAGGAGGGAAAATAATGTTAAATATCCACAAACAGAATTGTCTGTCCCCTTGCATCCAGAAGTGATGTTAAGGAGTTGTTTATAATAATGATGAGAGAGAAAGGAAGGGAGGGAGGAAGAAAGGAAAGAAAGAAAGAAGGAAGGAAGGGAAGAAGGCAAATATCCAATAAGTAGAAATATCATGTGAATAATATTTGTTAACAAATTTTACACTGTGAAAATCTATTTTAATGAGAAAGTTCAATATAGGTTATTTTCAGCTGTTAGAGCTTTGTTCAATATGTACTTATCCACTTGCATATGTGTCTATATATCTGTACAGAAAATATTTACTGATTATTATAATTAATAGAATTAGATGTTTCCCATCTATATGATTACTTATTTTCCAAATCATGTCAGGAATATGTGATTTTAATCACTTATTTTTTTTTTTTTTTTTTTACCGTGAAGCATCTTTTATTTAGTCATTTTTGTTTACAACTGGAACTCTGGGAACTCAAAATTAACATCCTTGCTTCTTATACACACCAGAGAAAGTTTCCACCTTGTGCTCCACGTTATTCTGCTGTGCTTTGTCCAGATGGACCTTTATGAGCCGGCTGCCATCCAGTTTCACACGGATTCTCTTGCCCACGATTTCACTTGGGAAGACTAACTCCTCAAGGATCGCATCATGCACGGCTGTCAGAGTGCGGCTCCTAGGGCGCTTTTGTTTATTTTTCGTACGGCTTTTTCGAGTTGGCTTAGGCAGAATCCTCCTCTGAGCAATAAAGACAACGTGCTTCCCACTAAACTTTTTCTCCAGCTCACGAACTAGCCGGACTTGAATTTTCTGGAAGGATTTTAGTTGAGGAACAGGAACAAAGATGATGATAGCTTTCCAGCCACCGCCAACTTCGATTTCCTTGGCAGCCGTGATGTTCAGCTCCCTTAGTTGAGCCTTGAGGTCTGAGTTCATCTCCAGCTCCAGGAGCGCCTGGGAGATCCCCGACTCGAACTCATCCGGCTTTTCACTGTTGGGCTTCACGATCTTGGCGCTCGAGCTGAACATGGCTTCTCCTGGTTGAGTGCTGGCTGAGGAAGAGCTGATTTCATTTTTAAAAGTATTTTAACAATTGTGATTCTAGAATTTTATTATACTATATGCAGTTATTAAAACAGCCCAATTTTTCAACTGTTCAGAAATCAAAAAGAATTTCTACAACAGAGACCAGAAGAGTCACATTAAAAAGGATCAATGGAAACAAGATATCCACAGGACCAGAGAAGAGAATTACTTAACTGGGACCATGTGTATGTGTGAGACATTCAGTGCATCAGTTAGAAACATTAAGAAAGAGATTAATTAAATTTGGGGAGTAAAATACACATTAACAAATTTAGACTTCCAGCCATGGTTGGAGAATTTAAAGTTTGGTGGTAAGTTTATTGTTTGCTTTATTTTTAAATTTAGAGGTTGGCAGTTATTAGTTTTACGCCCTGTGAGTCTGTTTTCTACCTATTGTGGTTTGAATAAATCACCTTAAACCATAAATTGCTTAAGATTTTTACTCTGTCACTTTCACTCCTGCTTATGACAGCACATGCAGTGGCTTTTCATGGGTGAATGGCTCTAGACAGGTAGGCTTTGCATAGGTAGGGACAGCAGAAGTATCATTACTCATGAGGGCGAGAAGGGCTTTCAGCAACCAGAATTGGTCACAACACCTTCAGATTCAGATTTCAGAGGAACAATTTGAATGCAAGATTCAAATAGCTTATCTACTTTCTCTTCCCTGAGTGGAAAAATCCACTCAGGCAATAGTTCCCCATTAAGTCAAGGCTCCTTCTCTTGTACTCCTGCCTGGCTCCTTTCAATATGGCTCATCACTGCATGGCTTCTCTTAGAGATCTCCTTCACTCAGAATTCCAATGTAGCTTCATGTTCAACCAAACTGTCATACTGATTCTTTCACTGTGATTCTTCCGATAGCTTCCTGGTTTTCTCTTCTTTGATCTCTCTATAGTCTTTTGTTATTGCATAGAATAGCAATACCAGTCTTTAAGGTTGTGCAATTTCAACTATTTATATTTGTATTGTGAATTTTTTGCCTGTAGCTTTAAGAGGATGCCTGTTACTTGATTTTTGTATCCTGGCCCTCAAGGAGATCTAGACAGTACTGTCATTCTTCCCAAGATTTATATTTGTACTATCATCATTATTTGTTACAATATTACTTTCTTGGAATTAATGAAAGTAAACTTTTCAAAATTTTATTTAAGATCACTTCTTGGTGTCTCTAATTCTCAGGGTTTTAAATTTTTTTATTTTGGATTAATATCTAATAGCTGTATATTTTCTTTTTTTTTGTCTTTTTTTTTAACTTTTATTTAATGAATATAAATTTCCAAAGTACAGCTTATGGATTACAATGGCTTCCCCCCATACCGTCCCTCCCACCCACTACCCTCCCCTTTCCCACTCCCTCTCCCCTTCCATTCACATCAAGATTCATTTTCGATTATCTTAATATACAGAAGATCAGCTTAGTATACATTAAGTAAGGATTTCAACAGTTTGCTCTCACACAGAAACATAAAGTGAAAAATAATAAATGATTTTTTTTAAATGATGATGAAATCAGATCAGACCTATTGTCATGTTTAATCCCAGTGAGAGTCAAGTTGGGAGTTGATAATTTCTTTTTTTTTTTTTTTACATAGGATCAGTTTAGTATACATTAAGTAAATATTTCAACAGTTTGCACCCCCATAAAAACACAAAGTGAAATATATTGTTTGAGTACTCGTTATAGCATTAAATCTCAATACACAGCACATTAAGGACAGAGATCCTACATGAGGAGTAAGTGCACAGTGACTCCTGTTGTTGACTTTACCAATTGACACTCCTGTCTATGGCATCAGTAGTCTCCCTATGCTCCGGTCATAACATAAGAGTGGGAATAAGAGAGGGAAGAGATGTATAATTTGGGACATGCTCAAGCTGACTTGCCCCAAATGGGAGAGTTAGAAACATACCAGGGGATTCCAATTCAATCCCATCAAGGTGGCATGTACCAATGCCATCTCACTATTCCAAGTGACCAATTTCAGTTCACAATTGATCATAATGAAAGGACTAAGAGTCAAAGGGAGCACATAAACAAGTCTAGTACCTGCTAACACTAACCGATGGAATAAATAAAGGGGAGAGTGATCCAACATGGGAAGTGAGATACTCAGCAGACTCATAGAATGGCAGATGTCCTAAATAGCACTCTGGCCTCAGAATCAGCCCTAAAGGCATTCCGATCTGGCTGAAAAGCCCATGAGAGTATTTCAGGCATGGAAAGCCAAGACACTCTGGCAAAAGATCTCTGCGAGTGAGATCCCAGTGGAAAGAACAGGTCTTCAAAGAAGGAGGTACCTTTCTCTGAAGGGAGGAGAGAACCTCCACTTTGACTATGAGCTTGTCTAAACAAGATAAGAATCGGAGAACTCAGAGGGCTTCCATAGCCTTGGAAACTAATAGCTGTATATTTTCAAGAAGGACATTGTAATGTTTTAACATATATACAGAGCATAAACACACCATACTTGGCAATTAGCCTTGCCATTTCCTTATCTTTTTTGTGTGTGTTTGGAACCTACAGCTCCTCTGTTCCAGTTCTTTATACAGAATCTAATATATTATCTTGAGATATAGTCACCCCTTTGTGCTACAAAACATGAGAATCTGTTACATTCACCCTACTGCATTTGGTACCTGTTATCCAACTTCCCTCCCTCATCCCTACCATTCTCCTTTATAGACTCTTGTAATCACTATCTTAAATTCATATCAAATATATTATTATTGTTTTAACTTCCAAATTTAACTTTCAATAAATGTGATCTTTGTATTTGTATTTCACTTAACAGAACTATCTCTAGTTCCAACCATTTTGCTACAAATATCAAAATTTTTTAATGACAGAGTAATATTTCATTGTGTATATATACCACATTTTCTTTATCCATTCATCCTCTGATGGACTGCCAAGTTAATTCCATATCTTGCTGTTGTGAATGGTACCACAATGAACACAGGAATGCAGTTAGCTCTTTCATATACTGACTTCAATTCCTTAGGAAGAAAAATCCAGAAGTGGGATAGCTGGGTCATATGAAAGATCTATTTTTTAGTACCCACCATATTGTCCCCTATAATAGCTGCACTAATGTACATTGTTGCTAGTAGTGTATAAGGGTTTCCTTTTCTCTATATCCTTGCTAGAATTTTTTTTTTCTTTTTGATAATGGCCATTCTAACTGGAATGAGATGTTACCTCATTGTGGATTCTATTTCCATTATTCTGATGGTTGGTGGTATCAGTTAGTTTTTTGTGCATCTGATGGCTATTTGCCCTTCTTCTGAGAAATGTCTACTCACATATTTTAGCCAATTCTTCAGTGGATTAGTTCTTCACATTTCTGTCACATCTTCTGATCCAATAATAGCAAAACATCTCTCCTCTGTAATTCCTTCGTTAAGTACAGTTATATTTGCATGTATATTATTTTCTTATATGTCTTTCCCATCTTTTTTTAAATTTATTTGACAGGTAGAGTTATAGACAGTGAGAGAGAGAGACAGAGAGAAAGGTTTTCATTCCGTTGGTTCGCTCCCCAAGTGGCCGCTGCAGCCGGCACTGCGCCTATCCGAAGCCAGAAGCCAGGTTCCTCTTCCTAGTCTCCCATGTGGGTGCAGGAGCCCAAGCACCTGGGCCATCTTCCACTGCCCTCCCAGGCCACAGCACAGCGCTGGACGGGAAGAGGAGCAGCTGGGACTAGAACTAGCGCCCATATGGGATGCCAGCGCCACAGGCAGAGGATTAACCAAGTGAACCACGGCACCGGCCTGTCTTTCCCATCTTGAATAGCTCATTTTTCCCTTTTGATTCTGTTCAGTCTGATTTCTGCAATCTCAACCTTTCTTTTTATAGAATTAAGTTCTTCTTTGAGCTAAGAGTTCTGCAGGAGGGTCCGGTTGATAATAGGCAATTTCTTTTCAATGAAAATCCTATGCATTGCAAGCAGGTGTGTATTCCTGGCTCATACTCACTAATTAAGCACTCTCAGGTCACTACTAAAATTGAGAGTCTGCCGCTGACCAGGTGATGGTTTCTAGTGAGTTTAACTGTGCCTAACCAGTGGTTTCACCTGCCAAGTCATCCTGCTCCCAGCCCTTGAGCGCTCTGGGATAGGTTGGAAAACATTGCAAAATGAAACAAGTTCCACACCTGCTCCTGAAAAGGAAGAAACAGAATGCTCTGGAAAAAAAAAAAAGCTTCCACAGGGATGTCAAAGAAACATATCTAGCCCAAAATTGGAAGCTTCCCAGAAGCCAACAAGAAGCCTGTTCCATCTGGAAGCTGGAACGACATCCGTGGTACTTTCACAGTGAGACCAAAAACTAAAGTCCATTAAGAAGAGTTTGGGGAGGAAATGAGTGTATGGGTAGTGAAATGGAGATTAGTTTTCTGTGAAAGAGAGCATTAGAGCACAAATTGAAGTGGGCTGCCAGGGTAGGAAGAAGTTGTGTTTAATGGGGATAAGAAAGTAAGTTTGTACAAGGCTTCTTGGAAAAATTCATGGAAAAATAAAACCAAACTTTCAGGCAAAAATTTTGAAATCCATGCTTAGCTTTTCTATAACACACTGATTTCATGAACTTTTTGAAGTAGCCTTGTATGTGTGATAACAGACATTTCCTCAGAAAATGGTGTCTTCCATTTCTCTGCATCACACAGAACACATAAGAAAAGTTAAAGAAAAAATAATTTTCCCAAAAGGAATACATGTATGCTTTGGTGTCACTGTGTATGTACACCTGCTGAAAGAATCCTCACAGCTATAATACCATTTTTACAACATCAGATCTGATGAAAATAGAATGCTGACAATAAAATGTTCTGAGAAAGCAGAAGCTGGTCAGTTTATGAATAAAAAGTTGGAGTATTGTCTTCATCTTTCTGGTGGGCTCAGTAGAGGAATACAATCCAGACAAAGCACAGATTTGTAGAGTATTTCCAGAGATGATGAACTTCTCAGATGT